CCTGCATCAGCCCTGGTATCTGGCACTGTGTGTGAACAGAGCTGGACAAGTGGGGAGAGAGAGGTTGCAGGAGAGTGCAAGAAGAGGTCAGATTGCCATGGACCTGAGGGTCCAATGGCATTCACAGCAAGAATAATGAGAAAGAAATGTGGAAGGCATTGCTAAGGTTTGTGGAAAAGGCTCTGGCTTTGTCCCAATTCCCCAAAGATTCTGGTGTTTTCTTCGTGTCCCAGAAGCTTCAGGCAATAGGAACAGGGTATGGAATTGGTGACAGGGGCTCCCTCAATAGCCAATCTTCTCTGCCTCTAAGTTGGCTGAGCTTTACAAGGGAAACATGTCTTGCCCTGGGATGGAAAATGCCAATGTGTTCCTCCTTTAGTTTATACAGAAGAGAAAAGCCACTGGAAGTCTCAAGCTCCAGTCAGAGAAGGTGAGACATACTGAGATACCTGCCCAACACATACATCCCATATAGTCACACACATGCACCTAATCATACACACACACACACACACACACACACACACATACACACACATACACACACAGTGAAGTGACTGTTACCCCAAACTCCCCCAACCCCAGGACCTCTCTCTGTCCTTTCACAGACTCCCTTTCTCTCTATGATCAGGAGTACCCAACGGGCAGTAGTCTCTGAAGGAAGGTGCCAATTTTAATTGGAGTTTGGAGGGCTTTTCTAGGCAGGGGCATTGCACCCTGCTGTTCACATTGCTTGGGGGTTTCCGTCTCTCTACCACACTAGCTCCCCTTCAATCTTAAGCTGAAGAACTCAATTATAAGAGAGAGATACAAGGCCTATCTACTCAGGCCCTATCCTCTCAGGACCCTGCACCTTAAATTCCCAGAGCCAAGATTGTGCACACCCTGTCCTGCTTCCTCTGGACCTGTGAGCCTGATGGGCTCAATCCCAGTGTCCCACCTTCTGCACAGGTTCTGCCTCATGCTGGGCTACTGGCCAGCAGATTTTTGGTCCCTTGTAGCCTTAGGGTATCTGTCCAGACACCTTCCAGGGCAATGACAGAAGAAGGCAGAGGGAGTTAAGATGTTCTTACTTTTCTCAGAAAGGGTGAACTGAAGCACAGGAGTGGCCCCAGACTTGAAAATGGAGAATTTGTCATAGCTCTGCTGCCAGATATATCCCACAGTTTGGAAAGTAGAAACTCCCCATGTGACAAGGTAGAAATGATTGTTGATAAACTTGGTAATGACTGTGAGATGAGTGAGGCTTGTCCATCCCCTGGAATTATTCACATGTTGATTGGTGAAGTATGCAATCCATGGTGCTTCACTGGGGCTCACAAACCACAAAGGCACAAGCTAAGATGTATAAAGGGCTTCATTTGAAGAAGGCTGTGGGATTGAACAGATGGGACTACACAGGAAGATCTCAGGGTGAGTGTACTTGGCTTGTGGGATAGGATTCATCTCTTTGGTTTTCACTGCAGCGATGAAAACAGGATAGAGCCTGGAACTGGTAGAATCATCTCCACACTCTTTGAAAACCTGATGACCTCCAGTCCCTGTCTGGTTATACCCAACACAGGGATGAACAAGACCCAGGCCCTGCTTGCCAGCTGTTCCTACCTCAAGGGACAATTGGAGGTTGCACAGAGGGTTTAACAGAGTTTTAGGGATGCACACAGCAGCCAAGGGGGTGAGAAGCATGCACAAGGCAGTGGCCAGATTACACCAGGAAGGCCAGTGGCTCTCTTACTAACATAGAAGAAATCACCTGGCTAACTACTAAGGGCTCACATAATGGGAAGGAGGCTAGGGACCAGGTTTTGAATACTGGGTCCCCAAGATCTTCTGATGGGCCAGGCTTCCAAACCCAGAGCAGAGGCCAAGAGCAGAAGTAAACTGGCAAGCATGCTGCCATTGCTGCTGCCTGGATCCAGGCCTCCAAGCATGTTCATCCTGGCATCTTCTGTTCATATTCAGAGACCTAGGCAAGGCATTTAAAAATGTACATACTAAGCCACATGCCCATCCCCTAACTGTGCCTTGAGTGATGACAGGCCCCTTTCCACCAAATTTGCAAATAAGAATTTTCCCTAAATCCCTGAGGCAACTAAAAGAAGGACTCTTGCATTCTAGGTTCTGTGAAATAAATGATAGTTGTCACAATCAAAATAAGTCACTCGTGTTAACCTTAACAAAAAATAAATAAATATAGGACGTCATGAAGTAAAAGTCCTTATGTGTGACTGCCTGATTCTAACTATCACAAAAGACTTCACCAGAACCACAAGGTTGTACAGAGGCCACTTGCAACCTTACACAACATGTACTCTGCAGGAACATTTGCCCAGCAACTGTCTGTTCAACCTCAGACTAACATTACCCCAGGTGTTAATTGTTGTGACTAAAGATTATTGTTTCAAAATAGCTAATATAATCCCTCATTGTTTGTCCTTGCCTCAACTTCCTTGAATGCAGCCAGTTTACTATGATATGCACGTTCCCATTGCAGTGTTCTGCTAGTCCCAAATAAATATGGTTCCTTGGAAAATATCACTTTGTTGTTTTTAGATTGACAGTTTCCAACCAATTGTTAAGATGCTGACACTGCAATTGTAAAGACTGATGGGCCTAGGGCACTATTCCAAGATTGGCCGTATGATGAAAATGGGATGGAAGAAAGGGGTAACAATTATGTGGGCTATCTGTGGTGTCATTAAGGTACAGAAAGGCTAGGGGCCAGGGCCCAGAAAGAGATAAGGACAAAAGCAGGAGTGTGGTACCTGTCTCTAAGTGAGATCTATTAAAGAAGACAGGATTAGAGGGCCTTCGGTGGCTCCAAGGATGTCTAAAACCTGTACCTCTAGAGGCAGTATTCCTAGGATACATTAGTGCTAGCCACCAGGTAGGAGCTGCAGTACAGATGTCTGCTCTTTTGAGTAGTGGGTACTCTTTTCTGCAGGAGTCATTAGAAAGCCCCTGTAGCATGAGGGTCATTAGCAATCACATTTCACTGCAGCTGATGGAAACCCAAAGGGAATTAGCTAAAAGATGGCATTTCACAAGTGTCTTGGAAGGGCCAGAAAACCAGTCTTTGAGGCTTTGAAGACAGGAAAAAGGGTCAAAATCAAATTGCAGTGCTGGACTGGCAAAGGTACCCCATGGCTCCCATTCATACCTGGACACAAACACTGTAGCTTGCATCCACCAATGCAGGAAGCAGATGCTACTGCAAGAACCACCAGTGCCACTGCTCTGCAGGAAACAGGTGGCATTGCTACCACCCAATCAGAATCTACGGTGCTCATGCTTCTTCCCATCTGGGGCTTTGGATTCAGATGGCATTGGTACATCTGATTGATGGGACCCAAGTCATATGCTCATGTCCTAGCTGCAAAAGGAAGCTGAGAGCACCCAGAACTAACAATTTCCACTCCTCTCATAATGCAGCAACTTTCCAGGACAGAAAGAATAAACAGTGTCCTCTGGGCCCACATAAGTGGTCTAATTGCATTGCACTGCTTTTAGTATGGAATTTGACTCTTTCCCATCCCCACAGAGCTCTAAAATGGTCTCATCTTTTGCATTCCATTACTCCACAGTTTTCAGCATAATGCCATACTCTGATCCTTCTGAGGGCAAGAGTATGGGCTATGCCCTTGGTTTTGTTAAAAAAAAAATAATTAAGTGGAAGTCATTTGGCTGAGACAGCTCTAGTGTCTCAGATTCCTACGTAAGCAAACTGAAGTCCAATGTAAACAGTAAAAATGTAAGCTTAACAAATCAAAAGACACCTTTCACCTCCAAATGGGGATTTCCCACCCAATTGGACTCCCATAAGAAAAGTACTAAGCTGTAGCTTATCAAGTAATTTGTTTCCACACTGAACATATAAAAGCTCACTACTCATGCTGATAAAAGTTGAACTCTCCGAATCTCTCCTAGCTGTACTATTCATGAACCTTTAATCACCAAAAAAAAATGTTAGATTTATTTCTCTTTGGGGGCTGGGGCTGGGGCTGTGGCTCAGTGGTGGCAGCGCACTTGCCTGGCAGGTGTGAGGCACTGGGTTGGATTCTCAGCAATGTAAATAAATAAATAAATGTCTATCAACAACTAAAACATTTTTGAAAAAGTTTCTCTTTTGGGCTGAGGTTGTGGCTTAGAGGTATAGCGCTTGCCTAGCACGTGTGAGGTCCTGGATTCGATCCTCAGCACCACATAAAAATAAATAAAGTATTGTGTACAACTACAACATTATTTTTAAAATAATATTTTTTAAAAAGTTTCTCTTTTAACAACATGCTACTTTCTGCACATTCATTATTCAGTCTCAGGCTATCACCCCTTCAGAGAGTATCCTCCAACTCCTGTAAACCCCTCCTTTGCTATATATCTCACTGGCCTTGCCTGCTTTTATCCTCAAGATAAAGTCTTGGCTTGCGAGTGGAAGTTATCTGGAAATGTTTTGTCCATTCTCTCAGAAGCTCCACAAATATCTAGAAGTTTGCACTTGCTCATTAAATTATTACAGGGTGAGATTTTGAAGTTTTAGAATATCTCAAATTAAAACATATTGAGGCTTTTAGAAAAACCCAGTCACTCTAATGCTGGCTTTCTCACCAGAGGTGCTATTGCACTTCTGGGTACAATTGTTCTTTACTGCATAACCCTACCACAAGAATCACTCATATTTAGTAGTCCGGAATCCCACACATATGATAGAGTGGTCTTCCCCCAATCAAGGAGAAAACCAGCATCTCCTTCAAGCATTTTCAAAAGTCCCAGGGAAAAAAACAGCCCAATCAAGGAACAATTAAACTTCAAAATTTTGTAATTCACCTATAAAAATTTTTAAAGTCATCAACTCCTAACCTGCTTATTGAAGTGCATACTCTCTCACTGTGGATGTCTTCTATGGGTACTTAGCAAAGAGATCTTTTTCTGCCCCTCCACTCCTACCCAAACTCCATCCATCCCTTTTATCAACTGCCCATAGCAGAGTCAAGACTCAGTTAGAACATTTAATGAAATTTATTAAAGAGAAATATTCACTGAGCCCATCAATGAGAAGAGGATGACAACATGGAAAGGGACTCTTCACAGCTTGTAAAGACCACAGGTACTGGGATGCAGAGACACCTCATCCTGGACTTCTAATGAGGTTTCTCATCTGCTCCCCATACTGGGGCCCTCCTACCACATTTTCCCTTACTAGGGCCCCCAGATCTGCCTCTTGCCAGGATGGTGACCTCTGGCAATACACATTAATTTCAGGGAATTCCCTCTGAGACTGACTCACTGTGGGGTGGCTCTTGCCCTATAATTGGCACAGAGACACTAAAAAGCACATCAGGAAATGCCTCACCAAGCTGAGGAAACTGAGTTACAAATAACAACAGAGGTGGAACATCAAAGCACAGGCTCCAGCTCTCCACATCCATCCCCAGTCCAGTTCTTTCTGCAAAAGGTAAGATTGCAGTTGCAGATGCAGTCACAGTTGTAGTCCCAGTCATGGGCACAGCATCAATCACGCCATCACCATCCATCCTTTCCGCTGTCTCCTGGGACTGGTGGGCTCAGGATCTCCTGGAAGAAGCTGCTCAGATAAAAACATACAATACTCCACAAGAACAAGTGGCAGAAAGCTGGCCTATATCTACACCAAGAAAGCAGAGGTTAAGTCAGGACACTGGACAGGAGCAAGCAGAGCCTTGGCTCACATGGAAGCTCACAACATGTGCCCAGACCTAGGGGTGGCTGCTGTGAGGGCAAGGACCTCCACACAGAGATGACACACACCTCATGGCTTTGCACAAGAATTATGGCTAGTATGAGGTGGGCATTTGCTTGAGGTGGATCTCCACTGAGCTTACAAATAAGGGTGAATTTCCAGGAACAGGTAGCGTCCTGTTCTGGAATTGGTGAATTGGGAGGGGAGAATAGAATCCCCGTGATGGGAGAGCCAGGCAGCTGGCACCCTTGAGATGGCTTCCTCCCCACACCCCCGGCAATGTCTCTCAGTCAGATATCTTCAGGTACCCTCATCTAGGCCAGAGCTAGCAGCTCAGGGGTGCTTCCAGGCCTACTGCCCTAGATTGGTGGAGTTTGAGGCTGGGGATGCCATGGGGAGGAGTGACTCCTCCTGCCAAATCTGGTTGAAAATGTGGTCATCTGGGCCATTTGGAAGAGCTGGTGGTGGTGATGAGAGCTCCTTGGAGAGTTGAGAGGCCTGTTTTGGGTGGAATGAGCCCTTCCCTGAACTCTGCTCCAAATATGGGATAGGGTGACAGCCCTGGCCTGGCCTACCCCTGCCTCCAGGGATGTGTTGCCTGAGAGGAGAGAAGGCCCCTGGGACTTCTGAGCCTATTTGCCCAAGGAGGGCTTGGGGTGGCTCGTCTCCCCAGCCCCATCCTTGTTTCCCAACTCTTCCAGGATGTCCTTAAGCCCTTCCAGCAGGGGCTCCTCAGCCTCCTGATTTTCCCCCTGGAGGAGGCTCTCTGGCCCCAAACCAGGCCCTCCTGGGCCAGTATCAGAAGCACTGCCCATCTGGGCTGGGGTGAGGCCACTGAAGGCCTCCACTGATCTTGCCTGGCCTAAGCCTGCAGGGGAAAAAGCATCTTCATTTTCCTGAGTGGCAGGGGAGGTATTGGCCTCTTTAATGGTAGGTACTGCCTTCATGACATCATCTGCATTGGAAGTAGCTTCAACAGTATGCTCAGGGCTAGGAGTAACCTTGTCGGCTGGGTAGGCTTCATCAGTGTGTTCAATGGCAGGGGCAGCCTTGCTGGCATCTTCATTGGATGGTTCTGCCTTGGTTTTCTCTACAATGATGGAGATACATTCCATGGTGACCTCATTGGGAAGGGTGGCCTCACTGGCATTTTCACTGGATAGAGTGGCCTCAGCATTATCTTTGTTGTCAGGTGCAGCCTGGGCAGCAGCTAGATCTCTTTGGTGAACTTCAGCTCCCTCTTCACCTTCCACCTGCTCATTCCTAGGTAGGGCAGCCTCCCATGCCTCAGTCTCCCTAATGAGCCGGAGAAGCCCCAGGAAGCCGGGTGGCCTCCTCTCCAGACGCATCCTCCTCAGGTTGTTCTGGAGCATCTGGTTTGGTCGGGCCCTCATCAGCACCTGCCGGGCTCGCAGCTGGTCAGCAATAGCCGGATGGATGGCCCCCTTCTCCAAGGCTACCTGCAGCAGGCCTTCCAGGCGCATCACATAGGCAAAGAGAGTCTCCTGAGGCCGCTGAGAGCAAGTCAGGAACTTCAGGCGTGCGGTCATCCGGGTGTCCTTGTTCCCAAACACCTGCACCAGCGCGGCCAGGCAGTCCTGTGCAGGAGTGTCTGGGTGTTCTTCCAGGAGCCCACACATGAGATCCAGGGCGGGCCCACCCAAGCTCTCCACCAGCCTCCTCCTCCTCTCCCTCTCGGATATGTGGCGCCACAGGTACAGCATGTCGTTGGCATGATCCAGCCAGCTCTCGAAGGAGTCTTCCCCACAGGCTGGCTCTTCAATCCCAGAAAAGCTTCTCAGCTCCTCATAGGCCATGTTCTCCAGGACAGGCTGCAGGGCCTGGCTCCACTGCTGGGTCCGGGCTCCCGCGTCATCTGTCCCTCCTGCCATATCCAAGACTCGTTCCTCACCTGCAGCTCCTGCCTCGCCTGCAGCTCCTGCCTCACCTGCAGCTCCTGCTATACCTACAGCTCCTATCACACCTGCAACTCCCATATCACCTGCAGCTCCCTCCTCATCTGACTCTCTTGCTTCATCTGCAGCTCCTATTTCACCTGCTTCCTCTGCTTCACTTGCAGCTCTTCTCTCACCTGCGGCTCCTCCCTCACCTGCAGCTCCTGCCTCACCTGCAGCTCCTCCATCACCTGCAGCTCCTCCCTCACCTACAGCTCCTGCCACACCCACAGCTCCTATAATTCCTGCAACTCCCATGTCCCCTGCAGCTCCCTCTTCATCTGACACTCTTGCCTCATGCGCAGCTCTTACTTCACCTGCTGCTTCTGCCTCAGCTGCTGCCCCACGTGCAGCTGCTGCCTCACCTGCAGCTCCTGCCTCACCTGCAACTCCTCCGTCACCTGCAGCTCCTGCCTCACCTGCAGCTCCTACCAGACCCAAAGCTCCTAGAACACCTGCAACTCCCATGTCACCGGCAGCTCCCTCCTCATCTGAGGCTCTTGCCTCATCTGCAACTCCTATTTCACGTACTTCTACAGCTCCTCCCTCACTTGCAGCAACTCTGTTACCTGAAGCTCCTACCTCACCTGCAGCTGCTGCCATGTCCATAGGTCGTATAATACCTGCAACTCCCACATTACCTTCAACTCCCTCCTCATCTGACACACTTGCTTCATACACAACTCCTACTTCACCTGCTTCTTCTGACTCATCTGCAGCTCCTCTGTCACCTTCAACTCCTTCATTTGCAGCTCCTCCCTCACCTGCATCTCTTGCCTCACCTACAGCTCCTCCCTCATTCACAGCTCCTATTTCACCTGATGCTCTTTCCTCACCTGAAGCTTTTCCCTCATCTGCAGCCACTGCCTCACTATCAGTTCCTCCCTCACCTGCAGTTTCTCCCTCACCTACAGCTCCTTCCTCATCTGCAACTGCTGCCTCATCTGTAGGTCCTCCCTCACCTGCAGTTTCTCCCTCATCTACAGCTTCTTCCTCACCTGTAGGTCCTCCCTCACCTGTATCTCCTGCCTCACCTTCAGCTTCTGTCGCACATGCAGCTCCTCTCCCACCTGTAACTCTTGCCTCACATGCAGCTCCTCCTTCACATGCAGCTCCTCCCTTACATGCAGCTCCTCCTTCATAGGCAGCTCCTCCCTCACCAGCAGCTTCTGCCTCACAAGCAGCTCCTACCACTGCTCTCCCCTGAGGCTGTGCAGAGAAATTGGGAGTATCCTGGAAGTCAGCATCAGGAGCCTGGGGCAGGAAGATCACAGTCCATGGGCCCCCACTACCTGGTATTTGTTGGGGGATTAAATTTCGATTTAAATATTCAGCGAACTCAACTAAAGCTACCCTGGCCCCGAGCTCCTTTCGAAAGGTCTTACAGAGCACTCGGTACCTGCCCAGGGGCCATAGGGCAGCCTGCACTGCTTCCTGGAATTCATCTTCCTTGCAGTCTTCAGGGATGCCCAGGATGAGCAATGAGCGCTGGGCATTGACACCCATCCACCTGCACCAGTCTCGCAGCATTGCCATTGCCATATCAGTATTCTTGGGGGAAGGAAGCATGGTTGAACAGGGATGTGTGCTGAGTGTTGCAGTCTCTGAGCACCCTGTGTATGCAAAGGAGAGAAAGGATTATTGTTGCTAGACAGCTCAACCCCTCAAATAGCTGCCCCTTGAGCATGGGGCCAGGGGCTCTTCCTTTCCCTTACTTTGATTTTAAGGAAAATTTTTAATAAATTTATGTATAAGAAGACAGGTTCATGCCTGTAATCCCAACAAGTTGGGAGGGTAAGTCAGGAGTATCACAAGTTGGAGGCCAACCTCAACAACTCAGTGAGACTCTGTTTCAAAATAAAATAAAATGGTCTAGGATATAGCTCAGTGGTAGAGTGACCTTAAGTTAAATACTGTCCAAAATAAAATGAAAAGGGTGGGGGATGTAGTCAGGAGTACAATGTCCCTGAGTTAAATCCTATCTGAAAATAAAAAGGGCTGGGAATATAGCTCAGTGGTAGAGTACCTCTGAGTTTGATTCCCAGTATTACAGAACAAAAATGTGTTTATAAGCTATAGAGTCAGTAGTTTCTAGTTTATGTGGTAGCAGTTTTGGTAAAATACTTTTCCCCCAAGGAATTCCCAAGTTTTATGTTTTCTACATTTTTTGTACAAATTTGTGCTTTTCTATTATCTTTTAAATGTCTGTACAACCTGTAATAACATCTTCTTTCATTCCTAATATTGGTGATTAGTGTCTTTTTCTCTTGTCTTGATTAGTGTTGTGTTTATCAATTTTATTACCCTTTTAAAAAAAGTATGTGTGTTTGTTAGTTGTATGTATGGTTTATTTTCTGTGAATAAATTCCTGCTTTATGTGTTATTTCTCCATTTGACTGGTTTTATATTTGGTGGTGTTCTTTTTCTAACTTCTTTAAATAAACCAGTGGACCATTGCCACTATACCTTGCTTTTTTCCCAATTACAAGCATTTAAAGCAATAAATGTTCCTGTGATCCCTTCTTTAGCTGTCTCCCACTAATATTTTTCCTTCTTTTTTAATTGTTAATTAATTTTTAAAAAAATAAATGACAGCAGAATGTATTATAATTCTTATCACACATATACAGCTCAATTTTTCATATCTCTAGTTGTATACAAATTCATGTGTTCATACATGTACTTTGGATAATGATGTCTATCACTTTCTACCATCTTTGCTAAACCCCCGCACACAGACTTATGTTTTTAAGTTGTAATTTCTTTATCATTGAGTTTGAAATATCTTCTTAGTTCTTTTTTGATTTCTTCTTTGGTTCATGGATTTACAAATATTTAGACATGTTATCATTATTAACTTCAAATAGAATTCCACTGAGAAATTATTTAATAAGAGTGCAATCTTTTTTTAATTGTAGATGGACACAATTCTTTATTTTATTTATTTATTTTTATGCAGTGCTGAGGATGGAACCCAGTGCTTCCCATGTGCTAGGCAAGTGGTCTGACACTGTTCCACAACCCCAGCCCCCCAGTCTTTTAATATCTATGATTTTTTTTTCTGAAAGAGGTTCTTGCTACATTGCCCAGGGTGATCTCAAACTTGTGGGCTGAAGTGATCATCTTGCCTCTGCCTCCCCAGTATCTGGGATTACAGATGAACAGCACTCACACCAGGTTTATAAAAAGTATTTTTTTTTTCTTTATGTGCAGTATGTATTCTACATAAGTAAAGGTAAAAGTAGAATGTGCCCTTGTAATCAATGTGCATTTTTCTCAAGACACCAAGCCCCCATCCCATGCGAACACTACATCCCATGTTGCGTAGGCCACCTGAAGCATCTCCAATTCCAACTGTAGGAGCTACAGCTGCTCACCGTGTCTTCTGCTACTCACTTTGTCTTCACTTAGGCTGGGGCAGCTGAGGGTGTCTTGTCATCACATATGCCCCCCACCGCGTCCTGCACACCCTCAGGTGGCGACTCTGTCCTCCAGCCCATGTCCCTCCCGGCTTCAAGGAGCGAACTCCTCCTACTGTCCTGTGTAATGCCACACGTGCCCACAGGGCGCTTGTGGCGACTTGTAAACCCAGGAAATAGGGCGCCCCCCTGTGCTGGGTCGGGGCTCCCTCCGTGGTGTTCTCACATCATGCAGCTCTGCCTCGGCCGCCGCCTCGAGCCTGCAGCATTTACTTTCCATGCTCCCTACACCTGTTTGCACTAGCCCGGGCCTTTCGTGGCATAATTAGGGCGCCTCAGGGCTCCCACGAGCCTGTGAGCCCTTTGGTCTTCCCTCCCTGCCATACTCCCACCAACACCCAACAAGGGCTGTCTGTGGCCACACTACCCCCAAGAAGCCGAGGGGTGCCCTCGATTCCGTGACCGTCAAGCCCCAGACCACCAGCCCTGCGTTCTCGCCCACCACGACCCCATCGCAGCCTATCGCCTCGTTCCCGCCACGTGCTACGCGGCGTCTTCCAGCCCTCCCTCCACAGCTGCAGCCACTAGTCAGCCCGCTCGTCCAGGCAGCGCTGGCAAACGCCTCACACACCTCGACATTAGCCTTCCCTCACACGTCCTGCACCCGGTTCCTTGGTCCCCTCCGTATTCCCCACATGGGGGCCGGTAGCTCTCACCTCTGCTCTCCAAATGCGTGGCGAGCTTCCACTCCCCCACTCTTGCCAGGACCCTCCTTCCCACCCTATCCCGACCCCTCCACCACTGAACCACAGAGGATCCTCATAGCTCAAGCGACTACCCCACCCCCACAGTTATGTATCCTCCTCAGCCACCCCACACCGGTCCCTTCTGTGACACCAGACCTGCCTCACAGGTCCCACGACCAGGAGCCCTCCCCTCCAGCAACCCCACGGACAGCCAAGGACCCTCCCCACACCATTCCTCCAAACCACACAGGGAACCCCTCCTGCATGCCTCCCCAATCTCGATAGCCACAATCCCCTCCCAGTTATGAGGTGCCACGGAGCGCATGGCCCTGGCACTTCATAACCAGCTATCTCCCACTCCCCAAAACTCGAGGAACTACCCTACCTGTCCGTGGACTTTCTCTGACTCTGGACAACTCTGGAATCCCACTCAGAAGAATCTGAAGAAATCCCCTCAGGATCTTCTGAGCCCTTTATGCTCAGGCCTTCTGAGCTCCCAGAAGGCCTTACTTCTCCCAGAAGCCCCTTCAAACTGTGCAGAAAGTTCCAGCACTTTTAAGCGTGAACAACCAAAAGGAACCTCCAGTAAACCACACCGGAATGGTAACGGTTCACCCCAGGCAACAGGGGTTGGAACTTCCACAAGCAGTAGACACGCCCATTAGCTCTCAGCCAATAAGATGGCTTACCCAGAAGGCAGTGAGGTTGATGGAATAAAAAAATTCCTGTATGCTATAAATTATTCATTTTAATGCTTTCATTAGTGCATTATAGTTAATGTGCATAACAAAATTTGTTCCATTTCAGCCCCCTTCCACCTCACCTTCTTCTCTTTTCCTTTACTAGTATTCCTTTATTGATTTTTAATCAGTGATTCATAGATATACATGATGGTGGAATTCATTGTGATGTATTCTTTCACACAGTAAACATCATTTGCTCAGTTTCATATTGCATTCCTCCTCTTTCCATCCATACTCTTTCAAGTTTTACTTCATATATTTTCAAGCTCTATTATTCAGTAGAAGCTCTATTATTCAGTAAATTTCAGTAGAAATTTGAAAAATTTCAAATTTTATGTACTTCTCATCAATTAGCACTACGTCATTATTACATTTGAATTCAGGTAATAGTTCTTGTCCCTATTTCTCTGCTACTAGTAAAGCAAACTTGCCCTTTGCATGGTGTATCACATTTCCTGTTTCACCAAGTAAGTCTTTATATTTAAATGAAATCTATTGTAGATACCAAAACTCTTACTTTTTCATCCACTCTGAAAAATCCCTTCCTTTCTATTGCAGTATTTAGCCCATTAATGTTTGCTACATTTGAATTTAAGTCCATCCTTATACTGTCTGACCCATATGCTCTTCTTTCTATGTTCACTATTTCATGCCTGGATTTAAAAAAAAAATAAAAACACTTTTACAATTCCATTTCAATTTGTCTTTGCCTTTTTAACAATACTACTTTGCATTATTTTTTTAGTAATTTCCCCAGATATAAAATATATATCCTTTATTTTTATTATCTAATTATAATTCATATTTTGCCACTTAACATAAATGTAAAAACCTACGTACCATATACATTCATTCCCATTTCACTCCATCTTTTATACTAGGGTTGCCATATGTAGAATACCTACCTATGATTCAAACCCTCAAAACATCCTAATATTACTTTAAACTGTCAGCAATAGAATCTTTTTCTTCAGATTAAAAGGCTTTCTTTAATATTTCTCTTCATGTAAACTATTCATGACTTCTTTTAGCTTTCATGTATCTCAAAATGTCCTTATTTTATCTTCTTTCCTAAAAGATAATTTCCCTGGCTGTAGATACAGATTTGAAGGTTGAAGGGGTTTTCCCCTCTTTCAGCACTTTAAAAAATGTCATTACAGCACTGGTGTTGTAGCTCAGTGGCACAGCATTTGCCTCACATGCATGAGGCACTGGGTTAAATTCTCAGCAACATATAAAAGTAAATAAATAAATACATAAAGAATATTGTGTCCATCTACAACTAAAAATATATATATATATTTTTAAAATGTCATTCTATTATCTCCTGGCTTCCATTGTTCCAGATAAGAACTCAGTAGATCTTCTTGTTAATGAACAATAAGTGATGCTTCATTTTATTCCAACTACTTTCAAGATTTCCTCTTCATCCTTTGCTTTCAGTACTTTTTTAAAAAAATATTTTTGTAGTTTTAGGTAGACAGCATGCCTTTGTTGTATTTGTTTCATATTTATGTGGTGCTAAGGATTGAACCCAGTGCCTTATACATGTTAGGCAAGTGCTCTGCCACGAAGCTACAGCCCCAGCCCCCTGCTTTCAGTACTTTGACTACAATGTCTCTACTGATGATTTTTCTTTGTATTTAGCCTCCTCAGGTTTCACTGAGATTTCTTAAACTGTAAATTATGTAATTTTCCAAATTGT